AGCTCTTAGTTCAGAGAGGTACTTAGATTTCCATAAGAAATAGACCTGGGTAGCTATCCCAAACTTTTTCCTGTATTAGTTTGTTCAAGCTGCCATAAAAAAAAAAAAAAATGTCAGACTGGGAGACTTAACAGAAGGTTATTTTCTCACAGTTCTGGAGGGTAGAAGTCCAAAATCAAGGTAGTGTCATGGTTTCTACTGAGGATTCTCTTCTTGGCTTGTAAATGGCCTCCTCACTGTGTTCTCACTTGGCCTTTCTTCTGTGCCCACATGGAGAGAGAGAGAGAGCTCTGGTGTCTTTTTGTCTTCTAATAAAAACACCAGTTTTATTGGATTAGGACCCTATCCTATGACATCATTTAACTTTAATTTTCTCCTCCAACATCCTATCTTCTAATATAGTCACATTAGAGATTAGGGCTTCAACATACACATTTTAGAGGGACACAATTTTGTCTATAACACTGCTCTAAATTAAAATTGTCTTTGCATTTTGAATCTTTTGTTTTTTAGTCCAATTCCCATAAGAACTTTGGGGTTTCATATTAATCTGATTGGGAAGCTTAGAGGAGTAAGAGAGTGACAGCAGAGGCTTCAAGGTCTCTTGAGACTTTACTTAGAAGTTGTATATTTCTTCTGATACATCTGTTGTTCAATGCAAATCCCAAATCCAGGCAATATTTAAGGGTTGGGAGAATAGGGTTTGCCTGTTAATGGAAGGAAGTGTAAAGGACAAAGGGAGCCATTTTTAATCCTCCATTATCTTACCTTTGACCCCAAGAATATACATGCCTCCTATGTACAAAATATATCAAAGACTTAAATGTAAGTGTTAAAACCATAACACTCATAGAAGAAAACACAGAGGTAAATCTTCATGACCTGGGATTTTGCTATGAATTCTTAGATATGACACCAAAAGCATAAGTAACAAAAGAAAAAAAGGATAAACTGAACTTCGTCAATATTAAAAACTTTTGTATTTTGTACATCATGGGACATTATCAAGAAAGTGAAACACAACCTACATAATGGGAGAAAATGTTTGCAAATCATATATTTATGTAGTCTATGTCTGCTTAAAGCTTTGCATTAGCTTCTTCCAATTTTGCCTTTTGTTCCTCAAAACGTTTTAGTTGATAAGCTTTATCTTCAAAATGCCATTGTAATTCTACAGTATCTCTCAAATAGGCCTCATGTTCTAAACACAAATTTTATCTCAATTAAAAAAATTAAGAAAATTGGAACAAAAAACTTCAGTTAGTAATAATGTATCAATACTGCTTAATTAATTGTAACAAATGTACTATCCTAATGTAAGATGTTAAAATACGGAAAATGTGGTCCAGAATATTTATGAAATCTCTGTATTATCTTTCCAACTTTTCTGTAAGTCTTAAACTGTTGTAAAATGAAATCTATTTTAATAAAACAGTACTATTTAAGAGAACATAAAAATTAATTAAAGGAAAGTAAATGATGTTAAAGAAAAAAAATAATATGTCCATGGCTTTTGTGTTATGAGATTAAACCGAATCAGATAATTCTTGTGATGCTTCAACTTCACATGGCTTCTTAGAACTGTTATATAAATCAGCCCGATGGTAAGTTTCTGTAGTATGCAGGAGTGTGTTACCAGTTTCCAAAACCAAGGGATAATATTTCCTAATTATTAATTAGCTTAGGATCTAATAATATACTCATTGAATGCTCATTCTCTTCTTGCCTGTTTATCTTTCGTCCATTTTCTTTTGGGTTTATTTGGATTTTCTTATTGGCCTGTAGGAACAAATTACTACTTTTAGTTTGTTACCCTCTCAGTTTGACTTGTCTTTTTACTTTATGATATCTCTTAGTTAAAATAAGTTTTTAATTTTAATATACTTACATTTATCATTTTCCCTTTATTTGAAGTGTTTTGCATCATGTTTAACAACTCTTACTGCAGAGTCCTAAAAAAGTTTTCTTATATTTCTTCTAAAATTGTAAAGTTTTTGCTTGAGATTTATTTGTTGAACAATGTGAAATTGTTATTTTTGTGTGTAGACACAAAGAATGGAATAGGTAGTTATTTTCATTCATAAAAATATGAAAAATTACTTTTCTTAACATTAATTTCGTTGCAAAATCCAGTCATTTCTTAGAAATCAGCTGTACAGAATCTATCCTATATCATGTTTTCATATATGATTATATCTATTTCTGACTCCATCATTCTAATGGTTAATTTTACCTCTCTATTACAATACCTTATTTTACTAAACATGCTTCATAATATGTTTTACTATCTGGTATGGTGGTTCCCTCTTTTTTTCCCTTTTTATACTTCTTTGGTTATTCTTGGTACATATACATTTTAAAATAAGCTTGTAATATTACATGTAAAATGTAATAGGATTTCAAACAACTGCATTCATCAGTTTTTTTATTATGTAGATGAATTTAGTCTCTTCAGAGTTTTTTAGATTCCATTAAATCTATTATACTGTTAGCATAAGAAAAGTTCAGCAGTGTAGCAAATACTGAAACTAGTTTAGAAGGGAGGTCTAAGTATGACGTAATGAGGGAGATGGTCAAGTTGATGAAAACTTAAATTATTGGTTCTTTTACATATTAATATATATATAGTTTTCATTTAACATACATCTGTGTGTATATAAGGGTATGTGCATATACATAGATATGGATAAATACATATAGATCACTTGGCACACATAAATAAAGCATCCTATGCTTTCTGCCCTTTTGCATTTAATTTTCTGTTAATTACTGTTCATATAGTTTTCCCAATTTTTTTCTTGTGTTTGTTTAATTTTTATATATGTGTAGAAGTATTTTTTTATCTCTTTGTCTCTTTTGTTACAAAATTTTTTTTCTGCTTGTACTAATTTTTAAATTATTTTCATAGAGAATTTTGTATGTAAAATCGATCCCTTATCTGACAAATTTTGTATCATCTAACATAATTTTCCTCATATCAAGATTATTAAAATATTTTACTATTTTCAATACTTCCTTTTTTACACTTTGGCTTTTTCAAATCTGAAGTTTACTACTTTATGGCATGAGGCACGTACTTTATCTCTTCTAAATAATTGTTTAAACTGTCCTTATATCATTCATTGACTTGTCCATCTCCCTTGATTTGTAATGTAAATTTTACAAAAAACAAATTCTCATATATATATATATCTCATACATATATATATTGTAAATTTTACAATAAACTAAATTCACATATATATATCTCATATATATATCTCATATATATCTCATATATATTTGTAATGTAAATTTTACAATGAACTAAATTCTCATATATATATATCTCATATATATACAAATCTCTTGATTTGTAATGTAAATTTTGCAATAAACTAAATTCTCATATATAGATCTCATATATATCATATATATATATAATGAAATGATTACTATTTCAGTCTTTTTCATATTTGGATAACAACATTCTTATACTAAATTTCATCTTTCGATTTTTTTAATATTATGGAGAAATATATATATGCCTTGAATTTGTTATTAAATCACTTATATCAATTCCAGTGTATGTTATATCTTAAGTAAATTTTGTTTTTTTAATGCTCTAATCTTTCCTCAAATATTTGTATACTTTTTTTGTTTTTTGTATTTATAAATGATGAACCAGACTGATAAATGGTTGTGAGCATAAGTTTTTTGCTGGTTTTGTTGTTTTCGTTGTTGCTGTTATTTGTTTGCTTTTTAGCAGCTGTCAGAGCCTTCTTACGTTAAAGGCTTTTATCCAGTAAATAAAAAATTATACTGGAATTCTTTGTAAATAGGAGGTAATATGTTTAGGCAAGGACTTGAGGGACTGTCTTTTTACTTAAATAAGCATACATTTGAGTTTGTTGTAGCACCTTCAAGTATTTTCATGCATTGATGAATCAGCCTTTGTTTTTCCTTTATCCACTTTTTTGTTTTTATGTGAGATTCTGCTAGTTATGTAGGCTCTGTTTTGTTTCTCTCTAGAACCACAACTTCCATTCTTAGCCTCTCCATCCTAGTCAGATCTCCAGTGTGGCTAGAGAGTTCTTCTCATGGCAATGACAAGAAGCCATCTTCTCAGCCATATATTCCGGATTCTGAGAGTGGAAAGCAATAATACTAGTCTACCTCACCACAGGCAGGCAGTCAGTTATTTACTTTGATTATCACCTACTTATTCTTACATACTAGGAATTTTTCATGAGCTCCACAGAGAAGCCTTTTACCTGCCCTGAAATGGTCTTCATTTTTTCTTCTGAGTTATATTTTTCTTTGCTCTATTTTCACTGACAGTCTCATCTGTTTTCTTTCTATATGTGGGAATTTTTCTAAAATATATGTCACAGTGATTTTATTGGCATACATATATACCTTTCTCCAGAAATATTGGATGACATGGGAATTGAAGAGAAGAAATCATGTATGCCCAACTAACACCTGGAATTAGACATTATCTATGAAACCCATAAAATTATGATTATGTATCCCTTGTGTTTTTGGTAATTTGTGTTTCTTATAGCCCAGGATACTCTTAGAATATTCTGTAGAACATGACTCCTACCGTGGAGTTTATGGTCTAAAAGAGGGACACTATGGAAAGCTAAATATTTGGAACTTACCAGAGTGTTTTCCACTCTTTGGTTATATATTAAAATTTAATAGATATAATGCACTTCTGATTATATGGAAAGTCTTTTGGGAGTAAGTGGCATTGAACAGGCCCTTGATGAAGGAATAAGGTTTAGAAACACAGATGAAAGGTAAGAACAATTAGGTGAGAGTAATAAAAGGACTAGGTAGTAGAAGTATGTAGCTGTTTTAGAAATAACAGAGTATACTATGACAAAAATATAATGGGGTCTGTGAAGTGGAGTACTTATAGTTTTATCAGTGAGTTCTAATGTAAGCTAGTCTACTATTATTTTTTGAGATATTTAAAATTTGATTTTTATTGAGATCTTTTCTTTTGACAGTTTGAAACTTCTCTTCAGGAATGGTAAGCACCTTTCATTCTTTTTAAGTTGTTTTTAAGTTCAAATTTTAATGATTAAGGTGCTGTAGATTAGTTTTATTTCAAAAGAAATAAATTAAAAGCAGAATTTTTCATATTTGTTATTAAAATGCATTTTTTGAAAAGATAATTAGGATATCACTGAAAATGGCAGAATAGAAATCTCTGGGGCTCTGTCCCACCACAAAAAAATGTTGGCAAAAATTTGTCAGAATCAACTTTTGTAGAAATCTGAACTTAGTAAAAGACAACAACTAGGGTGAAAGTTAATGAAGAGTCTGTTGTATTACATTAAGAGAGCACTGTGGCACTATAAATTGCCCACTTGCCATTCTCTAGCCCCCAAATCAGTGGTGGCCATGAAGAGAGCAGCCTGTACTTGTGCTGCAGATTGCTAGTGCCAGAGAAAACAATATGGACCTTATTCTCAAAGAATTGTGTTTCAGTGTTTTGACCTGTCTGATGACTTCTTGAAGAACCAGCACAAAGGCTTGTCTTTGTTTTGCCTGACTTGAAGCAATCACTCAGCTGGAACCACTTAGAGGCCGTGTTTACTGAAAGCATTTAAAGGCATACACTTGCCACCACTGTCTGAAGCTGTGAATAACAGTTGGGACAAACATTAGACAAACCAAAATGCCTGGGAAAGAAGACATACATGGGGGAAATAGAGTTTTTCAAAGCTGTTATATATACTGCAGAATCAAGAAGTGCACGCATATGACCAGAGCTAGGCACATGCTCAGGGAAAACCTAAGAAGACCCTGATCTTTTATCTCTAGCTGACCTTTAGGATCTGTGCAGGCAACAGTTAAAAGTAGAAGCAGAGCTGTAAACAGCCTGGGTAAGCATTGAAGGAATACTTCAAAAGAGCCCATCTGCTAAGACAAGAAGAGTATTTTTTTTTCCTTTTCCTTGTCCTTTTCCCTTCTTTTCCTTTCCTTTCTTTTTTTTTTTTTTGACTCTATGTATTTAAGATAACTTGGAGAAAACATAAGTTTACCAGTAAGCTAATGAAACACTTAGTTCAGTACCCACATATGACAAAGAATACATACATTATCAAATGTGTTTAGAACTACTAAACAAAGAAAGAACAACCCACAACAAGCAGCAACAACAAACCCAACAGAGGGAAGGTAATCTTATTTCCATTTCACATTGAACTACTTAAAATGTCCAGTTTTCTACAGAAAATCATAAAGCAGACAAAGAAAAAAAGAGAAGTTTGTCTCACTAAAAAGGGGAAAAAAGGAAAAAAATTTTAAAAAATGGCCCTGAGAAAGATTAAATGTTGGACTTATTGGACAATAACTAAATCAGCTATCTTAAATATTCTCAAAGAGATAAAGGAAACCATGGACAAACAGTTAAAACCAGGAGACTAATGTCTCAACAAATTAAGATTATCAATAAAGAAATAGGAATTATAAAAAAGAACCAAGCAGATATTCTGGAGATGAAAAGTATAATTGGATGAAAAAATAATTAGAGATGTTCATCAATAGATTTGAACTGGCAGAGGAAAGAATCCATGAACTTGAAAATAGGCCAATTGATGCACTACTGGGTATTTACCACAAAGATACAAATGTAGGGATCTGAAGGGGTACGTGCAACCCAATGTTTATAGCAACAATGTCCACAATAGCCAAACTATGGAAAGAGCCAAGATGTCCTTCAACAGATGAATGGATAAAGAAGATGTGGTATATATACATAATGGAATATTATGCAGCCATCAAAAAAACTGAAATCTTGCCATTTGCAATGATGTGGGTGGAACTGGAGGGTATTATGCCAAGCGAAATAAGTCAATCAGAGAAAGACATGTATCATATGACCTCACTGATATGAGGAATTCTTAACCTCAGGAAACAAACTGAGGGTTGCTGGAGTGGTGGGGGGTGGGAGGGAGGGGGTGGCTGGGTGATAGACATGGGGGGAGAATATGTGCTATGGTGAACGCTGTGAATTGCGTAAGACTGTTGAATCACAGACCTGTACCTCTGAAACAAATAATACATTATATGTTAAAAATAAAAAGTAGGAAGGGAAAAATGAAGGGGGGGAATCGGAGGGGAAGACGAACCATGAGAGACTAATGGACTCTGAGAAACAAACTGAGGGTTCTAGAGGGGAGGGGAGTGGGGGGATGGGTTAGCCTGGTGATGGGTATTAAAGAGGGCACCTACTAAATGGAGCCCTGGGTGTTATACGCAAACAATGAATCATGGAACACTACATCAAAAACTAATGATGTAATGTATGGTGATTAACATAACATAATAAAATAAAATTAAAAAAAATAGCCTAATTGAAATTATTCAGGCTGAGGAGCAAAAAGACAAAAGAATGAAGTAAAATGAACAGAGCCTAATAGATCTGAGGGACATAATCACAAATACAAATATATGCATAATGGGAGTCCAAGAGTACTAGGGAAGAGAAAAAGGGGGAGAAGGAATATTTGAAGAAACGTTGGCTAAAAATCTACAAATTTGATGAAAGACATGAATTTATAATTTACTAAAACTCAGTGAACTCTATTCAGGATAAACTCAGAGATACACACATTATAGTCAAATCATTGAAAGACGGAGACAAAGTATCTTGAAAGCAGTGAGAAAGAAGTGACTCATCATGAGTAAGGGATCCTCAATAAAAGTGACAGTCAATTTCTCATCAGAAATTTTGGAGGCCAAGGGCATGTGGGCGGCTCATTGGGTTAAGCATCTGCTTCCAGCTCAGGTCATGATATCAGGGTCCTGGGATGGAGCCCTGCGTTGGGTTCTCTGCTTAGCAGGGAGTCTGCTTCTCCCTCTCACTCTGTGCTCTCTCTCTCAAGTAAAAAATAAAATCTTAAAAAAAAAAAGCAGTAATGGAGGCCTGAGGCCAGTGGAATGGCACATTTAAAATGCTGGAAGGAAAAAAAAGTCTGTCAAACAAGAATTCTGATTCTTGCAGAAGTGTCCTTCAAAAATAAAGGAGAAATTAAGATACTTCCAGATAAACAAAAATTGAGGGGCTCCATCTGCAGCAGACTGTTCTATCAGAAATCCTAAAGGTAGTCTTTTAAGTAGAGATGAAAGGACATTAGACAGTAACTTGAAGCCATATGAAGAAATAAAAACAATAAGGTAGCTAGAAAAATAGATCTAAAAGTCAGTATGATTGCATTTTTATTTTGCATCTCTTATTTTTCTATATAATTTTAAATGGATAAAATTATAATTCTATATTAATGGGCACACAATGTATAAATGTGTAATTTGTAGAAATGACAACATAAAGGAAGGGAACAGAGGTGTTTTTTTTTTTTTTATACTACTGAAACTGCATTGATTTTAATTCAAACTTAATTTTTATGAAGTTAAGATGTTAATTGTAATCTCCAATGAACCACTAGGAAAAATTCTATAAAACAAAAACACCAACATAAATCCAATAAGGAAACTAAATACATTAGGAAAATTCGACTAATCACCAAAGGAGGCAATTATGGAGAAATTAAAAATGAAAAATATTTAAGTATTATAGAAAACAAGTAGCAAAATGGCAGAAGTAAGTCCTTCCTTAATAGTAATTGCTTTTCATGAAAATGGACTAAATGGATTAAATGTATTAAATGGATTAAACTTTGTTAAAAGATAGTGATAGAATGGATAAAAGTACATGATTCAATTATATGCTGTCTATAAGAGACTCACTTGAGATCCAGAGACACAGTATGTTGAAAGTAAAAGGATAAAAAATATATTCCATGAAAATAGTAACCAAAAGAGAGCTGGGGTAGCTAAACTAATATAACACAAAATGATCGAAGCATATTATAAGAAACAATATTTAACATCTTGATAAAAGGGTCATTCCATCAAGAAGATATCAAAATTATATACATACCCAAAATAAAACCTCAAAATGCATGAAGTATAAACTGACAGAATTAAAGTAAGAAATATGCAGTTCTATAGTAAGAGTTTGAGAATTCACTCTATCCTCACTTTCAAGAATGTAAACTTAAAGAACTTAAGTTTTTTTTTTAAAGAACTTAAAAAAAAAAGAACTAAAAAAAAAGATCAGTAATGAAAAAGATTTGAACAGCACTAGAACAATCTAGGCGTAACAGACTTATATAGTACACACCACCCAATAGCAGTAGAAAACACATTCCTTTCCTGTTGACATTGAACATTATTCAGGATAGATCATATGTTAAGCTATATAACAAATCTCAATAGAATAAAAAAAGACTGAAATCATACCAAGTATCCTTTCTGACCTAATGGAATGAGACTAGAAATCAATAACAGAAAGAAACCTAGGAAGTCAATGTAAATGTAGATTTTAAACAACATGCTCAAAAAAACTCAGTGAATAAAGGCTGTAATCACAGAAGAAATTAGAAGGTACTTTGAAATGAATGAAAATGAAAATACAATATACCAGAATTTATGGGATATAGCAAAAGTAATGCTCGCAGGGCAATTTATAGACATAAATGCTAACATTAAAAAAGAAGATCCCAAATCCAGTAACCTAACTCTATACCTTACAGAACTAGAAAAGAATGAATGTGCTAAAGCTACGAAAAGAAAGGAAATTATAAAGATTAGTGCAAAAATAAATGAAGTCAAGAATAAAAAAAACAATAAATAGTATCAATGAAAACAAAAGTTGTTTCTTTGAAAAGATCAACCAAATTCACAAACCTTTGGCTAGACTAGCAAAGAAAAAAGACTTGAATTATGAAAATCATCAAAAAATTGGGGATATTACTACAGATCTCACAGAAATAAAAATGATTATAATACTATGAATAATTGATAATACTATGAACAAGAAATTTAGATAACCAAGATGAAATAGACAAATTCCTAGGAACACATAAACTATCAAAACTGATTGAGGAAGAAGTAGAAAATCTAACAGATTTGTAACAAGTAAAGAGATTAAATCAGTAATCAAATATCTCCCAAAAAAGA